TAAGAGCCACATCTACTGTTTGAGCGTGGTGAGATGTGTTCCACAATGGGCATGCGTACTCAGCAGCAGAGTAGCATAGTGCAAGGGCAGATGTCTTCACTGTGTCTGGTTGTGATCCCCAGGTTGTGCCAGTCAGCTTTCATATGATATTGTTTCTAGCGCCCACTTTTTGCTTGATGTTTAGGCAGTGTTTCCTATTGTTGCTACTTGGTCATTATACAGACTCTTCAGGAGAGAGACAAGGTGATTTGGTCTCCCCATACATACCACTAAGAATTTATTATGATTCACACAGTCCAAGACTTTAGAATAGTCAATAAAACAGAAATAGATGTTTTTTCTTGAATTCCCTGCCTTCCTCCATTATCCACTGGAGTCTCATAAGTCTCATTATATAATTTATAGACTTTCCCAACACATGAGTTACATCACAATATGCATGCAGACATTAAAACTAACTTCCATTTTAAGTTTTTAACAGTTTTCAAGTGTTTTAAGTGATTTTAACCCATTTGTATGTTTAATTCTATTTTTCAAATTTATATGTTGTGGATTTAAAATTGTATTATGAGCCACTTTCTGCCTCAACCAGAGATGAACGCAGGATGCACAGAATAATAAGCCTCACCCCCTCCTCCCCCAAAACAATAACCATTAAGAAATTAAAAGGGAATTTCCCACCTCCCTCCTTAAAGAGAGACGGTCCATTCCTGCCATTCCCAGAACTTCGATAATCCAGTTTTGTTCTGAGGTCCTTCTTTATTTTGCCGGGTTCCCCATCAGCCCCCAGCTTTCTGAAATTGCTCCAGTTTCACTGGAAGGTGGTGAACCTGCCCTGCACCTTCTATACAAATAAAAATGCAATGTTTGTTTGTGGGATTAACAGAACTCAAAAACCACTGGACAAACTGACACCAAATTTGGACAGCAGAATCACCAGCCAACCCCTCTCCAATGCCAGAGATACAGCTTAATGGTGTAACATTAGAACATGTTGACCATTTCCGCTCCCTTGGCAGCCACCTCTCCACCAAAGTCAACATCGACACCGAAATACAACACCGCCTGAGCTCTGTGAGTGCAGCATTTTCCCGAATGAAGCAGAGAGTGTTTGAGGACCGAGACATCCGTAGGGATACCAAGGTGCTTGTCTATAAAGCTATTGTCCTCCCAACCCTGCTATATGCCTGCAAAACGTGGACTGTCTACAGACGTCAACATTGACACCGAAATACAACACCGCCTGAGCTCTGCGAGTGCAGCATTTTCCCAAATGAAGCAGAGAATGTTTGAGGACTGGGACATCCATAGGGAGACCAAGGGGCTTGTCTATTGTCCTCCCAACCCTGCTATATGCCTGCGAAACGTGGACTGTCTACAGACGTCAACATTGACACCGAAATACAACACCACCTGAGCTCTGTGAGTGCAGCATTTTTCCAAATGAAGCAGAGAGTGTTTGCGGACTGGGACATCCATAGGAGACCAAGGTGCTTGTTTATTACGCTAATATAATGGACTGCTACCTTGGCAGCCACCTCTCCACCAAAGTCAACATCGACACCGAAATACAACACCGCCTGAACTCTGCAAGTGCAGCATTTTTCCGAATGAAGCAGAGAGTGTTTGAGAACTGGGACATCCATAGGGATACCAAGGTGCTTGTCTATAAAGCTATTGTCCTCCCAACCCTGCTATATGCCTGCGAAACGTGGACTGTCTACAGACGTCAACATTGACACTGAAATACAACACCGCCTGAGCTCTGCGAGTGCAGCATTTTTCCGAATGAAGCAGAGAGTGTTTGAGGACCGGGACATCCGTAGGGATACCAAGGTGCTTGTTTATAAAGCTATTGTCCTCCCAACCCTGCTATATGCCTGCAAAACGTGGACTGTCTACAGACGTCAACATTGACACCGAAATACAACACCGCCTGAGCTCTGCGAGTGCAGCATTTTCCCAAATGAAGCAGAGAGTGTTTGAGGACCGGGACATCCGTAGGGATACCAAGGTGCTTGTCTATAAAGCTATTGTCCTCCCAACCCTGCTATATGCCTGAAACGTGGACTGTCTACAGACGTCAACATTGACACTGAAATACAACACCGCCTGAGCTCTGCAAGTGCAGCATTTTTCCAAATGAAGCAGAGAGTGTTTGAGGACCGGGACATCCATAGGGATACCAAGGTGCTTGTCTATAAAGCTATTGTCCTCCCAACCCTGCTCTATGCCTGTGAGACGTGGACTGTCTACAGACGTCACATGCAACTCCTGGAACGATTCCATCAGCGCTGCCTCCGGAAAATCCTGCAAATCTCTTGGGAAGGCAAGCGGACAAATGTCAGCGTGCTGGAAGAAGCAAAGACCACCAGCATTGAAGCGATGGTCCTCCGCCCTCAACTCCGGTGGACCGGCCACGTTGTCCGGATGCCTGACCACCGTCTCCCAAAGCAGTTGCTCTACTCCGAACTCAAGAACGGAAAACGGAATGTTGGTGGACAGGAAAAGAGATTGAAAGATGGGCTCAAAGCCAACCTTAAAAACTCTGGCATAGACACTGAGAACTGGGAAGCCCTGGCCCTTGAGCACTCCAGTTGGAGGTCAGCTGTGACCAGCAGTGCTGCAGAATTTGAAGAGGCACGAATGGAGGGAGAAAGAGAGAAACGTGCCAAGAGGAAGGTGCGTCAAGCCAACCCCGACCAGGACCGCCTTCCACCTGGAAACTGATGCCCTCACTGCGGGAGATGATGCAGATCAAGAATAGAGCTCCACAGACACCTATGGACCCACCCTGGAGGATTATCCTACTCGGACAACGTTCGCCTAAGTAAGTAAGTAAGTAAGTAAGTAAGTAACTAAGTAGCAGAGGTTTTATTCATCTGGATAGGTGGACGTCAGGACAGAATCATTGCTAACAGAACGGACGTTGCATACAATACAGTGCACAGGAAGCTTGGGCAAACTTGGGTCCTTCCTCCAGGTGTTTTGGACTCCAACTCCCACCATTCCTAACAGTCTCAGGCCCTTTCCTTTCCCCCCTCAGCTGCTTAAACTGAAAAGGAAAGGTCCTGAGTCTGTTAGGAATGGTGGGAGTTGGAGTCCAAACACCTGGAGCAATTGAGGGCCCAAGTTGGCCTAGGCCTGCTCCAGAGCCTCATAGTACTTCCGGGAACACTGCCCTATTGTTAGGGATTCCTCATCTTTGGAAGAGGAAGGGGAGCAGGGAAGTGCTCAGGAATTGGAGGGAGAAGAAGAATCAGACGATGAGGTTTTACAAGTGCCCACATTTCTAGAGAGACGAAAGGAGACAGAGCACAAACGGCGTTCAGCTAGAATAGCTGCTAAAAACGCTGAGCTAATTGGGAGACACCCTAGCATCTCCTATGTGGGGAATTCAGAAGCAGGGGCAGTCAGCTTTCGCTGGTAACGACGACTCTGATGCCGATGTTTTCACTCCAATTGAACCTGCTTTGTGTCTGCTGCTAAGGACTTAGTGATCATTGCCCGTTGTTTGATTGAAGAGTGCTGTTTCTTTTGAGACTTTGTAAGAGGCTTTAATTTGTGTCTGCATTAAGACTTCCTTGCTTTCTTTTGCATTTTTCAACTGCATCTGCTTATCCTTTGTGTTTGCTGAAGTAACGCATTTTTCTTTTACTTTCAACATTGTATTAAAGCTGTTTTTGAAGGGCAACTCAGGCAACTCAGGACACCTATCCTGAATCACAGCATCCAAAACGGATCGCAACCATTGCAAAAAGCAGAGTATAGTGTTCCCTCACTATTTTGCGGTTCGCCTTAGGCCCTTTCCTTTTCCCCTGAGCTGCTTAACACCCGGAGGAAGGACCCAAGTTCGCCCATACTTGCTCTACCACACCTGTGTCACCTTCTGCCTTCGTAAGAATCTTCTCTGGGTTTGCCCCAAAATAATTGCTGTACTTGTGGCTTCCTTTGACCAGAATACCCAGAAAGGACAAAACTGGGGTCCCTCCTCAAACTGGAAGCTCCTTCTTGAAAACAGAGTCTCGGTGGAGATCCCTCATCCCCTTTTGCAACTGATTACAACTCCCAGTATCCACTGCCTACTGCAGAAAGAAAAACTGCCTCACTTCTTAGGCCAGTAAAAAAATGTAGTGAGCATAACTACATTCTGTAAAATGTGTGCTCAGTCTACCAAGTTGATTTCCCCTTTTTCAAAAATGCTCCAGAGACCCCAAATTACCAGGTGGAACAGACCCTCCTCCTTTTTCTTCATGATGCTGTAGTTCCCCAAACACAGAATGAGGGAAATGTTGGAGCTGCTTGCAATTTGTAATGTAGATTTCAAAGTATGTATGTATGTATGTATGTATGTATGTATAAAATGAAGTAGCTATGTGCCGAGTGGATTCCTGTGTGGAAAGAGTTAACTGAACCATGGAGGGAATGGCATTCCTAGAGAGGTCATAAATCAAGTGTATAGAACAAATGGAGGCAGCATCATGCGTCGTACGTCATACGCTAATCTGGAATGCAAGAGGTGTGGACTAGTGCTGATAACAGAGTTCATGTGTTCGCGATATTACGATCGGTCGGATGGAAGCAAGTTTTACGATATGCTGAGTGTTAAGTAGCTTTTAATGTATATAGCTGTAAAATAAAGGTGGCTGTGACCGATCTGTTTCCTGCCTTGCTGTGCGGCCGTTGCCATTGACAGGAAACGTCTCAACGATGAAGGATTAAAATGGCTCCCTCTGGCACACCAGGAAATACTGTGATTGGCAGTGTAGTAAAGACCGCTCTTATTGGTATTATTATTTCTTATTATATCTAATTATCATAAAAATCGGCAACAGCAGGCACCATCTTTCAAGAGAGAATGTCGAGGTGATGCCAGGTGTTAACCCAAGGCCCTGCTATTCAAGGGATGAGATGACAGGCCCCCTCCCAAGAGTTGTTGCCCCCAAACACACAAACTTAAACACATTTGGCAAACGGTTCTGCCCTGGCGGCCCCCTCACCTCCCTCTTCCAGCGGGCCAGCCACTCATCTCGCTTCCGCTTGCTGATGTAGTAGGGGTCTCCAGCTTGGAAGGTCAGGCGGGGCATCGGCCGCGGGCGAAGGTTGGACTCGCACCCCAGACCTCCACGCAGGCGCCCACGGGATCCCTGCAGACAGAGAGAGGACGACAAAGAAAGAAAGAAAGAAAGAGGGGAATCAGGACAGAGAGGGCTGGAAGGCAAGAAGCATCAACCCTTGGAGGGAGAGCAAGTAGGGGCAGAGGATACGCTGTGCTGCAGACCTACGCTCTTGTTTTTTGCCTGTTTCCTAGATCTATCCAACTCGCAGTGATTTGCTTCCTACCTGCATGAAGAGAGCACCTCTCCCTTCTTCCCTGAAGTCTTTAGTACAGGCATGGGCAAACCTTGGCCTTTCTAACTTTGGCTGTTAGGAATTGTGAAAGTCCAAAACACCTAGAGGGACAAAGTTTGCCCATTCCTGCTTTAGTATGCTTTATTTCTCTTTGTTGGAGAAGGAAGCAGCATGAGACTCCTCTCTCCCCAAGATGCCTTGCACACACAGCCACGGCAGCACAGCACATTAAACCACCAGCTGCAGAAAACTTGCTGACTGGAAAGGTTGGCAGTTTGAAGCCACGGGCCAGGGTGAGCTCCCGCTGTTAGCCCTAGCTCCGGCCAACCTAGCAGTTTGAAAGCATGCAATGCAGGTAGATCAGTAGGTTAAAAAAAAAGTGTTTTTTTTTTTTTGTCATGTCAGGAGAGACTTGAGAAACTGCAAGTCGCTTCTGGTGTGAGAGAATTGGCCGTCTGCAAGGACGTTGCCCAGGGGATGCCCGGATGATTTGGTGTTTTTATCATCCTTGTGGGAGGCTTCTCTCATGTCCCCGCATGAGGAGCTGGAGCTGATAGAGGGAGCTCATCCGCCTCTCCCCAGATTCGAACCTGTGACCTGTCAGTCTTCAGTCCTGCCGGCACAGGGGTTGAACCCACTGCACCACCGACGGCTCCTGTTGGAAAGGTGAAAGGTACCCATGCAGCCATGCTGGCAAACTGGCTACAGACAACAGGCTCCTTGGCATGGAAAATGGAACAAGAGCATGGCCAGAGTTGGGCATCGCCTCCAGGCAACTGGAGATGGAAATCTCTGCCTTTGTTTGTGTATTGTACATCATTGTTGTATAAAAGGCATTGAATGTGTGCCTATATATGTGCATACTGTAATCCGCTCTGAGTCCCCTCGGGGAGATAGAGTGGAATAGAAATAAAGTGCAGCATTATTATTGTTTGAAACACAACAAGATGAGTCCATAGCAGACACTCTGCTGGCTGTTTTATTGGATCACACGTCGGACCCTTCCCAACTGTCTAGGACTGTGTGATGTATCAGCAAATAATGCGTGCAGATCCCAGTAAGGTGGCCTATTATCATCATCATCATCATCATCATCATCATCATCATCATCACACTCATTGGCTTGGCGCGTGCAGATCCCAGTAAGGTGGCCTTCTGCAGCTGGCAGATAATTTTGTCAGCACCGATTGTGTTTAAGGGCAGGCCAAGGTCTTTAGGCACTGCACCCAGTGTGCCGATCACCACTGGGACCACCTTGACTGGCTTGTGCCAGAGTCTTTGCAGTTCGATCTTTAAATCCTCATATCGTGTCAGCTTTTCCAGTTGTTTCTCTGCAATCCTGCTGTCACCTGGGATTGCAACATCGATGATCCATACTTTGTTTTTTAACACGATTGTGAGGTCAGGAGTCTTGCTCCAAAACTCTGTCTGTCTGAATCCGGAAGTTCCAGAGGAGTTTGACGTGTTCATTCTCTGTAACGTTTTCCAGCTTGTGATCCCACCAGTTCTTTGTCGCAGGCAGATGGTCTTTGTGGCACAAGTTCCAATTAATCATCTGAGCAATGGTGTTGTGCCTCTGCTTGTAGTCTGTCTGCGCGATCTTCTTGCAGCAGCTCAGGATGGGATCTATTGTTTCACCTGCTTCCTTGCAGAGTCTACATTTGGGGTGATGATGATGATGATGATGATTATGGATTCTTCTTCCAAAGTTAGGGAACGCCCTATTCTGTCATTTTCTCATTTATCTGCAACTAATTAAAAAAAAAAAACCACTTTCGAACCTTACCAGAGCACCTTGAACCCCCCCCCCCCCCTTATTTCACACCATAAACTCACATATAGCACTCAGTGGCATCATTGTGAGTCAGAAAGAACATGACTCCCTGCAGGATTGAGCTCAGAGGACAGAAGCTACTTCTACGTGGCTTAATGTTTTCCTTTCCAAAGGGAGGGTTGCTAATGTGGCATAGCTGTTTCCGAGTTAGACGAGGACTCAGAGAGCAGTGCTCAAATCTCTACTTGACCACAGAAACCCATTTTGTGGCCTTGGCAAGTCACACTCTCTCAGCCTCATAGGAAGGCAATGCCCCAAACCTCCTCTCCTTGCCCCTTCAAAGGAAATATGGGGGGAAGGCTTTATGTTTGTGAAGGACAGTTAGGAACTTCTGTGAGAGAAAAGCAGTTAGGAAAATGGAGCTTAAGTTTTAAGGAAAACAAAGAAGTGCCAGTGTGGTTTAAGGCGGAAAATAGTCCTGTCAAGAATGTATGAAAAAGTTACATATTTGTTGATGTGAAACAGTCGAAGTTTGATAAGAAAAGTTAACTAAGTGAAAGATATTGAATGTAAGACTCAAGACTGTAACAGAACACATAAATGTAACCATAAGCGTTGGAGCCAGAAGCTATAAATAAACTTTGTTACTTTGTTTACTACAAGAGTGTCTCAAGCCTGTAATATAAAAGCTTCAAGGAAAAATCTCACAAGAAAGTTCCAGCCAATTTAAAAAGGGGAAAATACATCAATAAAAGGCAGTAAAAAGATTTAAAAGAAAATATTTTTCCTCCCACATCGTCACATAATAAAAGACACCTGAAAAAGAACTGAAGTAGCAAAAGGTCGTCCCAGCTAGTATACTATGGAAGTAACATTTCACTTTTTGTTTATGCAACTTTGTGTTATAGGTGTAGCGTTTAGTGTGTTTCAATGTATCCTACTTAAAACCTGCCCTCTTCTCTTGATTGCGCAAACATGTATACTTGTGGCTCTTTCTGTTTCTGAACAGTTTCATTGTTACTCAAGTGTGGTCTGAAATTTATGTTATTGTTCATTCATTCAGTCGTTTCCAACTTTTCATGAGCTCATGGACCAGCCCACGCCAGAGCTCCCTGTCGGCCGTCACCACCCCCAGCTCCTTCAAGGTCAAGCCAGTCACTTCAAGGATGCCATCCATCCACCTTGCCCTCGGTTGGCCCCTCTTCCTTTTTCCTTGCATTTCCCCAGCATAATTGTCTTCTCCAAGCTTTCCTGTCTCCTCATGATGTGGCCAAAGGACTTCCTCTTGGCCTCTACGATCCTTCCCTCCAGTGGACAGTCGGGCTTTCTTTCCTGAAGAATGGACTGGTTGGATCTTCTTGCGGTCCAAGGCACTGTGGTCCATAGAATCATAGAATCGTAGAGTTGGAAGAGACTTCCAACTGGAGAACAAGCCCTATGAGGAGCGGCTTAAGGAGCTGGGCATGTTTAGCCTGAAGAAGAGAAGGCTGAGAGGAGATATGATAGCCATGTATAAATATGTGAGAGGAAGCCACAGGGAGGAGGGAGCAAGCTTGTTTTCTGCTTCCATGGAGACTAAACAATGGCTTCAAACTACAAGAGAGGAGATTCCATCTGAACATGAGGAAGAACTTCCTGACTGTGAGAGCCGTTCAGCAGTGGAACTCTCTGCCCCGGAGTGTGGTGGAGGCTCCTTCTTTGGAAGCTTTTAAACAGAGGCTGGATGGCCATCTGTCAGGGGTGATTTTAATGCAATATTCCTGCTTCTTGGGGGGTTGGACTGGATGGCCCATGAGGTCTCTTCCAACTCTTTGATTCTATGATTCTAGTGTGATGTATCGGCAAATAATGCATGCAGATCCCAGTAAAGTGGCCTTCTGCAGCTGGCAGATGGTAATTTTGTCAGCGCTGATTGTGTTTAAGTGCAGGCCAAGGTCTTGAGGCACTGCACCCAGTGTGCCGATCACCACTGGGAACACCTTGACTGGCTTGTGCCAGAGTCTTTCCAGTTCGGTCTTTAATTCCTATATTATTAGTAGTAGTAGTAGTAGTAGTAGTAGGCACTGCACCCAGTGTGCCAATCACCACTGGGACCACCTTGACTGGCTTGTCCCAGAGTCTTTGCAGTTCGATCTTTAAATCCTCATATTGTGTCAGCTTTTCCAGTTGTTTCTCTTCAATCCTTCTCTTAAATAATAATAATAATAATAATAATAATTATTATTATTATTATTATTATTCCTGGGTTGTTGTAGGGATTTTTTTTGGGCTACATGGCCATGTTCTATAGCACAAAAAACCTACAACCCAGTGATTCCAGCCCTGAAAGCCTTTGACAATACATTATTATACTTTTTTAAAACCTTACCAGAGTCATCCTGGATATTTTCCCTCCTGTTTCCTACCACAAGCTCATATACATCACTGGTTACGCTGCACTCTACATGGCAAACAGAGATATATGTGGTACTTCTATCTACCTTGGTGCTACATCTGGACTTTCTGAATGCATGGGCAAGAAACTGGCTCCTGGTGAGGAGAACAGAGGGAGTTGGGGCTCTCCCTGGATGGACCTTTGCCGCCTGGAAGCCTTGACTCCATTGTCCACAGCTGGACTACTTGTCTTATCCTCCACCTTCCAAAGCAGGAAGGCTGTCTGTAGGCAACCAAAGGTAGGCGAGGAATGCCCCAAATCTCCCCAAAAGAGCTCTGTTGTTTGTGTGTCATGAGCAGCCATGGAGACTTGACCTCCACCCCAAATTTGTCGAGAATGAATGATGCACACAAGGCCCAAAAATAATCATAATATGACATTTCTGAGGACACTCCTTAGTGGCAAAGGTCCTCAAAAGACTTATGGCAGTCCAGCTCTGGTATATCCCATGAGAGGGTGGACAACTTGAGGGGACAATTCCCAGACACACCTTGCGAGATGCACCTGGCAGGTAAGATGCCAAAATACTAGGCCTGTTTGATCAAGAAAAAATTTGTTTCTAAAATCGATTTGTAATTGGGGTGTTTTTTTGTTTCGATATTTAAAATAATTACAAAACTTTCAAAAAAAAGTTTTGGTATTTAAGAAATTTTGTAAATATTAACGAATTTTTAGAATATTTTTGGTATTTCTTAAGAATAATATTAAAAATATTTTAAAATGGAAAATTAACCAAAAAATGGCCCAAATGTGGACCAAACACAGGCAGGATACAGCAAATGAGAGCACACACCAACAGAAGAGTCTTTTCTTTTTTAGAATATTTTTTAAGAATAATATTAAAATAATATTAAAAAATAATATTAAAATAATATTAAAAATATTTTAAAATGGAAAATTAACCAAAAAATGGCCCAAATGTGGACCAAACACAGGCAGGATACAGCAAATGAGAGCACACACCAACAGAAGAGTCTTTTCTTTTTTAGAATATTTTTTAAGAATAATATTAAAATAATATTAAAAAATAATATTAAAATAATATTAAAATATTTTAAAATGGAAAATTAACCAAAAACTGGCCCTGATGTGGACCAAACACAGCCACGAGACAGGGCAAACGAGAGCACACACCAACAGAAGAGTCTTTTCTTTTTTAGAATATTTTTTTTATTTTTTAAGAATAAAATAATATTAAAATAATATTAAAAAATATTTTAAAATGGAAAATTAACCAAAAAAATGGCCCAAATGTGGACCAAACACAGTCAGGCAGGACACAGCAAATGAGAGCGCACACCAACAGAAGAGTCTTTTCTTTTTTAGAATATTTTTTAAGAATAATATTAAAATAATATTAAAAAATAATATTAAAATAATATTAAAAATATTTTAAAATGGAAAATTAACCAAAAAATGGCCCAAATGTGGACCAAACACAGGCAGAGACAGCAAATGAAGCAAGCAGCACTCACAGCAGCAAGGAATGAATCCAATCCCAGTTGCTAGCAGCCATTGCCAAGCCAACCAATGCAAACTCCCTCGCCCTCTGCAGCAAGCTACGGGCCGCGCGGAGCCGCTTTGAAAGGGCTCGCCGGCCAATCAAAAACAGACAGCCACGGACCCATGGTGCACTGCTTGGGAGCGCCGGATTGGCTCCCAGGCACCAGCACTCCAGCAGCCTCCACCCCATTAACGAAACGAGCGGAGGCTCGTTAAAACTATGGGGGTTGCTGGTTCGATATTTAAAACCCTTCCGGGTTTGGTAATATGTTTCAATATCGCTTCGGAAATGCCAAAATTAACGAATTAATAACGAATTAACGAATTAACGAACGAAACCGCACAGGCCTACAAAATACCTCCGTCTCTAGCCAAATAGCATCCTACATGGTGTCAAAGCACACCAAGCTAAAAACACACCAAACATGGATTGTTTGGTGGCCCTACAAGTGATCCTATGAGATAATTCACAGGTCTTCACCTTTTCATGGGGCTCTTGCATGGTTTGGGGGCAAAATCACTCCTGCCAAATTGCCAAAATTAAACAATTTGGGGGAGAACTGGTGGCGGGGGGTTCCATAAACCACCTCTTGCTTTGAAGTGAGTGGAGGAAAGTGGGGAGAGGGTATGGGAGACCACCAGGGAAAAGGGCCAATGGGGGGAGGGTACTTACCTCCATTTTCAAGGAGTTGTAGTGGTTCTCCTCCTTTTCCTCTTTACCTGAAAAACAAAGGAAGACCAGACTGAGCTCCAGGACCCACCAAGTCCAATCAGATGTGGTTTTCTACACTCAAGAACATTCAAGCGGCACACTCATGCGCATAGCAGGGGCTGCCTGCCCGAGACCCCCAAACATCTGCTGAGGAAGGGTCACCCCCATTTGCTGCTAGCTCTTAAATGAACTGTAACAGAAGTCCGGGTTGTGGCACAGCTGATTGGGAGTCAGCTGCATTAAAATCACTACTGACCAAAAGGTCATGAGTTCAAAGCCAGCCCAGGTTGGAGTAAGCTCCTGACCATTTGTCTAGCTTGCTGTCAACCTTTGCAACCCGAAAGACAGTTGCATCTGTCAAGTAGGAAATTGAGGTACCGCTTATGCGGGGAGGCTAATTTTACTAATTTACGATGCCATAAATAACTCTCCAGCAGTGTGCAAAGAATGAGGAAGTACTCCTCTTTAAGGCATCTGGGTTCCGGCACCCATGGTGGCTGGAATTCGAAGCATACCCTCATGAAGCTGGAAAGTTAAATAGCCTCTGTGTGTCTGCCTATATATGTTGTGTGTCTATGGCATTGAATGTTTGCCATGTATATGTGCATTGTGATCCCTTGTGGGGTGAGAAGGGTGGAATATAAATACTGCAAATAAATAAATAAACAAGTCTAGTATTTTATAGTATTTTATTGTCATTTTTTACTGCTTTTAATTTAATGATAACTTTAATTTTCCATAAGAGAGCATCCATGTAACTCTTTTTGGTTGTTTTAATCAGTGGTTTGATATTGTATTGTATGTTTTAATGATGTTGTGAGATGCCTTGGGGTCTGCTGGAGAAAGGCGGCATAGAAATTCCTAAAATAAGTAATAATAATAATAATAATAATAATAATAATAATAATAATAATGTATTGTCGAAGGCTTTCATGGCCGGAATCACTGGGTTGTTGTAGGTTTTTTTGGGCTATAGGGCTATGGTCTAGAGCAGTGGTTCTCAACCTTCTTAATGCTGTGACCCCTTAATACGGTTCCCCATGTTGTGGTGACCCCCAACCATAAAATTATTTTCGTTGCTACTTCATAACTGTAAGTTTGCGACTGTTATGAATCGTAATGTAAATATCTGATATGCAGGATGTATTTTCATTCACCAGATAAAATTTGGCACAAATACCCCATACATCCAAATCTGAATACTGTTGGGATTGATGGAGGGGATTGATTTTGTTATTTGGGAGTTGTAGTTGCCAGGATTTATAGTTAACCTGCAATCAAAGAGCATTCTGAACTCCACCGATGGAATTGAACCAAACTTGGCACACAGAACTCCATGACCAACAGAAAATACTGGAAGGGTTTGGTGGGCATTGACCTTGAGTTTTAGAGTTGTAGTTCACCTACATCTAGAGAGCACTCTGGACTCAAACAATGATAGATCTGAACCAAACTTGGCACGAATACGTAATATGCCCAAATGGGAACACTGGTGGAGTTTGGGGAAAATATACCTTGACTTTTGTGAGTTGTAGTTGCTGGGATTTAGCGTTCACCTACAATCAAAAAGCATTCTGAACCCCACAAATGGTAGAATTGGGTCAAACTTCTCACACAGAACCCCAATGCCCAATAGAAAATACTGTGTTTTCTGATGGCCTTTAGTGACCCCTCTGACACCCCCTCATGACCCCCTCAGGTGTCCCGACCCCCAGGTTGAGAAACACTGGTCTAGAGGCATTCGCTCCTGACGTTTCGCCTGCATCTATGGCACACATCCTGGCTGGAGGACCTCACTACCTCTGAGGATGCTTGCCATAGATGCAGGCGAAACGTCAGGAGAGAATGCCTCTAGAACATGGCCATATAGCCCGAAAAAACCTACAACAACTCAATAATAATAATAATAATAATAATTGTGGCCGTGATGGTGCAACAGGGTAAACTGTTGAGCTGCTGAATGTGTTGACCTGAAGGTTGGAGGTTCGAATCCAGGGAGCAGGATGAGCTCCAACTGTTAGCCCCAGCTCCTGCCAATCTAGCCATTCGAAAACATGCAAATGTGAGTAAATCAACAGGTACCGCCTTGGCGGGAAGGCAAACAGATACTCCACTCAATTATGCTGGTCACACAACCAGGAGGTATCTACTTACAGCGCAGGCTCCTTGGCTTAGAAATGGAGACAAGCACCTCTAACAGGCTTCAGCCTACTCACTCTCTGCATGCTGGCCACATGACCATGAGGTGTCTATGGACAACACAGGCTCCTCAGCTTGGAAACTGAGACAAGTACCTCCCCCAGAGCTGGAGTTGGGCACCACCTCCAGAGCCGGAAATGAAAGGAGAAGCCTGTGCCTTTGAATGTATTTTCATTTGTAGCAAGGCATTGAGTGTTTGCCTGTGTTTGTTTATACATGCTGTGGTGTGCTCTGAGTCCCCACGGGAAGAAGGGAGGAATATAAAAAGTGTTGTTGTTGTTGTTGTTTCAAAGCAATCAAGGCAAACATGGCCACACAGAGGGTGCACAAAGAAGGGTCTCTGAGCCAACCAGCCAAAATGTCAGAATGTTTCTAGGTCTCTTTCTTCCTGCGGTCCTAGCAAGCCCCTGCCCTTCCAGTTGCACCCACGTCAGGCAGGGATCCGTGGAACTCCCTGCCAAAGGAAACAAGGCTCTCCCCCTCCCTGCGGACCGCATGCTAGCACAGCAGGCAAAGGTCTTTGATCAGAGAATCAGAAACCTGGTTGTAAGCAAAGCAGTTGTTCCTCCACTTGTTTCGAATCTCTTGTGTTTCTCTCTGTGGCTTGGCCTCACTGCTTCCTGTCATATCTTTGGTCTCCCACACCTTTCAAAAGCATGCCTTCAAGTCCCCTCTTCCTTTATGGCAACCTCACAAATGACACTGGGTTTCCCTGGGCAAGGGGACGGAGCCCGCAGCACCCTCAGGTCCCTTGGCAGCATTTGGGAAAGATAGCTACTCCCAGATTGTGGCAACCATGGCCCACAATGGGACCAAAGCCAGATCTTGTGTGTGTGTTGTGCCTTTGGGCTGTCTCTGGGTATGAGGCAACCCCATGAGTCCTTCTGGGGTTTCTTAGACAAGGAGAGAGTGTTTGAGGACCGGGACATCCGTAGGGATACCAAGCTGCTTGTTTATAAAGCTATTGTCCTCCCAACCCTGCTCTACGCCTGCAAAAAGTGGACTGTCTACAGACGTCACATGCAACTCCTGGGACGATTCCTGCCTCCGAAAAATCCTGCAAATCTCTCGGGAAGACAGAAAGGCAAATGTCAGTGTGCGGGAAGACACTGACAACATTGACACTGAAATACAACACCGCCTGACCTCTGCGAGTGCAGCATTCTTCCGAATGAAGCACAGAGTGTTTGAGGACCGAAACATCCGTAGGGTGCTTGTTTATAAAGCCATTGCCTCCCAACCTTGCTATACGCCTGTGAAACATGGACTGTCTACAGACGTCACATGCGACTCCTGGAATGATTCCATCAGCACTGCCTCCGGAAAATCCTGCAAATCTCTTGAGAAGACAGGCGGGGAAACGTCAGCGTGCTGGAAGAAGCAAAAACCACCAGCATTGAAGCCATGGTCCTCCACCATCAACTCCGTTGGACCGGCCACATTGTCCGGATGCCCGACTACCATCTCCCAAAGCAGTTGCTCTACTCTGAACTCAAGAATGGAAAACTGAGTGTTGGTGGGCAGGAAAGGAAATTTAGGGATGGGCTCAAAGCCAACCTTACAAACTCTGGCATAGACACTGAGAACTGGGAAGCCCTGGCCCTTGAGTGCTCCAGCTGGAGGTCAGCTGTGACCAGCAGTGCTGCAGTATTTGAAGAGGCACAAATGGAGGGTAAAAGAGAGAAACGTGCCAAGAGGACGGCGTGTCAAACCAACCCCGACTGAGACCAAGAGAGAAACGTGCCAAAGAGGAAAACGCATCAAGCCAACCCCGACTGTGAGACCGCCTTCCACCTGAAAACCAATGCCCTCACTGCGGGAGAAGATGCAGGTCAAGAAAAGGGCTCCACAGCCACCTACGAACCCAACCCCAGGACACCGAACTTGGAGGACCATCATCCTCGGACTACGAGGGATCGCTTAAATCAAGTCAAAGTAAGAGTAAAGTGTTTTTTCTGTTCATTTCTACTCTTGTCTGTGTGTCTTGTGCACGGGACATGGCTAAGATCCGCTTGCTGTGCAACATAGGGCTCCCCGAGCCCCCTCAATGCGACTTGCCCCTTCTCCCTCCTTCCTTTGCTCGACACTTCCCTCTCTGCCTGCTGGCGGCAGCCCCTTCCCACCCAACGAAGGGAGAGGAACTCCTGGCCCAAATTCAGCAAGTGAGTGAGTGTGAGACCACCACCGCCCCCTCCTTCCATTCCCTTCCCTTCTCTTCCGCACCACCCGGCGCCCCGCCAGCAGGAAACCTAAGCTCCCTGGGAACGGAGCCTGGCCGCTCGGCTCCTCTCTGCCCCACCAAGGAAAATTCCTCCCAGTCCCACCCAGAGGGAGGAAGGGGCTTGTGGGGAGGGGCAAGGCGGGAAGGTGAACGGAGATGGCATCACAGCCACTCAGGGGAGGATACCTTCATCCCAATTCTCCCAGGCTAGTCCTGGGAGAACTTATGGACACCCACCCCAATCAAAATATTTATTTCGGTCATTGACCAGCACAGGAAATAGTGTCACATTTCCATACAAACCTGGCATGTTTGGTACATTAAAAATATAAATATAACTACTAAAAACACAATATGGGTGGGGGAGCACTCCCCCTGAAGAGACAGGTTCGCAGTTTGGGTGTGATCCTGGACTCATCGCTGAGCCTGGAACCCCAGGTTTCGACGGTGACCAGGGGAGCTTTCGCACAGTTAAAACTTGTGCGCCAACTGCGACCTACCTTGGGAAGTCTGACTTAGCCACGGTAGTCCACGCTCTGGTTACATCCCGCCTTGACTACTGCAACGCTCTCTACGTGGGGTTGCCTT